GAAATAAAATGACAGGGTGTGGAATTAATTCACTACCAAGCATTACTTTGAGCAGATGTTAAGATAATGCACAACTCTATTTCCAGCATGATAAACATTAGTGAGATTTACTCCTTCTTCCATCCTGTTGCCCACAGTAAGTCATATCTAACAAGCCATGGGTGTTACTGTCTTTCAGGTTTCAACACAGCCAGTTCCACAGGAGCCCAGCAGAAAAGATTATGAACCATATCAGCCATTTCAGAATTCAACAAGAAACTATGACGAGTCCTTCTTTGAGGACCAAGTGCATCATCGTCCACCTGCAAGTGAATACAACATGCACCTGGGACTAAAGTCAACTGGCAACTACGTCGACTTCTATTCAGCTGCTCGTCCCTATAGTGAACTTAACTATGAAACAAGCCACTATCCAGCCTCTCCCGACTCCTGGGTTTGAGACTTGGGCAGATACAAAAGCTCCAGGAACTGTGCATGTGCATGCATACCACAAGACATTTTTTTTCCTGCAAATTTAGTTTGTTAAAGCCTGTTCCATAGGAAGGCACAGATAACAAGTATGGAAAAAAATAAGAGATTTTTTTAGAAGGCTAAAAGATACGAAAGCTAAACCTGCGCGTAATTAGAAAGAAATATATATACATATATATATTTTAAAGTGTGGGGCAACTTTACTGTTGGCCTGTAGAGTTTAAAGTTCAGTGCTGTATATTGAATGTGGCTGAAGGAAGGAGGAAGAACATGACAGTGGATGTGGGTCAAGAGTTAAGCACAAGTTACTGAGCAGCGTACATACTTTATGGGGAACAGCTTCTCACACTTTGTTTAATATCCTCATTCATTGTGAATCTAGGCTTCAAGTTGCATTTGGGGTTTCCTCTGTACAGCAAGATGTTTCTTGCCTTTTGTTAATGCATTGTTGTAAAGTATTTGATGTACATTACAGATAAAAAAAAAAAGGTGCATTGTGTATATTACACCAATGCCACAGTGTTTCTTCATCTATGGTTCTAAATATTGCTTCAATTTCAAATTTTGAAAGATGTATGAATTTCCAGTTTTTTGTTTTCTTTTCCCCGGTGCGTTTTAACAAAAAAAAATTGAAAAAATATCAAAAAAACAAAAAGGAATATTTAGCAGTATTGTTTGTTCTGATATGTGAATTTGTTTGTGGCAACTTAAAAAAAAAAAAGGCATTCAGCAGTTTCTGACAATTAACATTCATCATTCCACACTCCTTGTCAACAAAGTGCTTTTTCACTGCCTAAAATTTTAGATGTAGATATTTGAAATAGATTTTTTTCATTTATACCAGTTTTCTTTATGATGATACAGTGTTAAAAGAAAATAAATTACAATTGATCTGTCATCCATATTTGCTAAGAATGTCTATTTCCAAGAACCTACCATACAAATACACATTCTTACTTGTGTGTGTCCACGTATGCATAGTATTCCGTGCGTGTGTTTGAGTGTGTGTGTTTGTGTGGCGTAAGACTTCTTTTCATCCAATGTTCTCCTTGTTCCAGCTTCAATTTTTATTTGATTTTCAGTTCTTTTAAACAGTGGAAACTCCAGTATGTGCTTTCTCTTACTCACTTTCTTAACCATTGATAGCAATTCAACATTGTTAGGCCACATGCTCACGAAGGAAGGGGTAACCAAATTTTTTTCACAGACTCCATCACCCCTAGGTGTCATTTTCTTTAAAATAGCATCTCTTGATCTTCTTTTCAGGAAATTTCATTACTCTCCAGCCACCAACCAGTAAGTGCTCAAGAAAGGCAGAGTTTGATCTTGCCATCTCCCTGAGGGAATGGAAAACAAAGGCTCAACAGACTTAAGTCTGGACTCTCCAAACTCTTTAGACTACTGAAGGGTCCAACTCTTGAACCATTAGGACAATCATTTATTTTAACCCATACCAAAAAGAAAACCCAACATCCAGAACACATTCCTCAAATATGAAAGATACAGACCATTTCTGTGCATTTAAAGTAAAATTCTAAAAAATGTAAGGGACAGAGAATTTTTATTTATTTAAAAAGAAAAGCTAGCTAGGCTAGGAGGCCAGAAGAACTGGCATATTCCTCTTAGCTCTAGGGATTCTGGAAGGAAAAAATAATCAAGTATTTCTTCATTTCTGTGATTGAGACAACAGTTCAGCATACAGTTTTCAGAGCATAAGACCCACCACAAATGGAGTAGTTGTAAATTGCTTAAATTACAAATAAGGAATTTGTGTTAGGTTGCAAACATTTCTGTGATTAGTCATTGTAATAGTCTTAACATCACCTGGCACACCTGGCTGTGCGCAGGGGGAGAAGTCTCTCGCAAGTCATCGCCTGCTCTATAGGACACAGCCCAAGTAGTTCATGCAGGCGAGTATTGTGATGTAGAATTGGTTTATCAGTAATCTAGGACTATAGTTTAATCTTTTTTGGCAGCTTTTCCCAGTGTACGATATGTAACCTTTGCTCTTTGTAGTAAACGGGAAAAAAAATCGCATGCAAAAAAATTTTTAAAACATTTCAGAAAGGGTGGGTGGGAGGGGCACAGTGGGCCGGATGTATAGTGAGGTAGATACAAATATTATTCATAGTTTTGGACACAGGTTGTTTATATTTTATTTATTACATTGGTTTTAATAAGTGACATTTGCAGTGCTCTTTTGAACAAAGCACATTTTCAGTATAAAAACTTTTTTTTAATAAAGAATGTCACTCACAACTGGAAGTTCTTCTTGACTGCCTGATGAACACCAGGCTGGTGCAATTCTCCAGGCACAGGTTTGCCGACAGGACAAGGGGATGCGTCGTTCTGTTTGAAGTCCTTAGGACAGGGAGTTATTGTAAGTTGGATTTATTTCCATTCTTCAAACTACTGAGATGCCCACATTGCCCCCTTTCAGCTCCTCTTTGGAACTACTCGGAGTCAAATGTTGACCATTGCTCAAGTGAGAGATTCTGGATCGATGAAGTGGCATAAAATAACTTTTGTCTATACTTTGTGTTGTTTTGTTTCCATTCTTCTGTAGTGGCAAGTGCTCCAACTGATATTGTTCACTCTTGCTGTACTGAGTTTTGAGAAGGTGTTGAATTACCTGGCTTCTTTTCCAGGCTTGGAAATCCAACACTGCCACCATACTGAGCAAGATATATATGATGCATTCTTTTTAATATTGAGGAAAGTATCCTTGCCTATTGCTGTTCCCTTCATTCTTGTACTAAATCACACACAGAAATAGAGAAGAAACAAAACTGTTCCAAAAAAAATGTATAAAATGCAATTGATGTACTGTACAATGTCGGATTTTTTTTTTAACAAGCTTCGTATTAGAATCTTGTTCAGCTGTGTAGAGCTATATAAATCTCACTGTTTTATTAAATGCTGTTTATGGTCTGGAAGGAATGGTTAACCTATCTCAAGATTAACAAATTTGCACTAACATGAGCAATATTGATTTGAGAAATATGAATTCAATATTTAAAAGATAAACTATGATTTTAAAGGTATATTAACACTGAAAGTACATTTTGACAAATAACATATTTAAGCCCAAAATATAAATGGTTATGTCAGATAACACAAAAGAACTATAACAATATAGATTGAGAAAAAAAATGTGTTTCACTGTACATGTTGCTAACATGTACAAAGACAAACTCATATTGACGTATTTTCTATTAATAAATCCTACTGTATTGTGGAGAATTGCTGTCATAGTGCAATATGTTGTAACTCAGAAGGTGTCTCCATAGATTGATGCCTAGCTTCACCCAGCAAACAAATCCTTGCCATTTATGTATTTTGAAATATTAATTGGATAGCTAACTTTCACCTCTCAAGTTATTCACTGCCTCCTCCCTCTCGACCAGGTTGATAAGCACAACCTACTCTACACAGCCAGCCATGAGGAAAGGTATTTTTAAAAGCACCCAGTTCACCCCTAATTATGGCTGCAAGAGCTCAGCTGCCACCAGTTGCAGAGAGTTTATCTATACCTGTAGAAAAAAACCTGAAAAACTCAATGTGCCACTGGATAGGAATGTGCTGTAAAAAATGTGATATTGGCCCCAGCATTACAAAGAACACAGCCAAGAAAAGAAGAGTGAAACATTAATTTACTTGTGCATTGGTGGGAGTCCCAGTGTGCAGTGCCTGTAAAGGCTCAGGAATAGTAGTTTCCTGGGTTGCATGAGCCTGCAGAGGCATCTTGCCAGGGAGACTTGCAACTCAAATCAGAAATGCTGACTTACTGTTATCTTGGCACAGCACAGGATGTGCAAGCCAGTGCACTGCAAGGGAGGCTTTCTCAGCTCCTCCATCGCTGTTACTCATCCTCTCCTGCCAGCGGGCAGAAAGAGATCCGAGTTTAGTGTTACTGCTTGTATCATGGGGACAAGTGGGAGTGGTGGAGACAGCAATCCAAAGCGGGGAATCAGAAATGCTGACTTACTGTTATCTTGGCACAGCACAGGATGTGCAAGCCAGTGCACTGCAAGGGAGGCTTTCTCAGCTCCTCCATCGCTGTTACTCATCCTCTCCTGCCAGCGGGCAGAAAGAGATCCGAGTTTAGTGTTACTGCTTGTATCATGGGGACAAGTGGGAGTGGTGGAGACAGCAATCCAAAGCGGGGCGGGGACAGACACACAGAGTTTGTACATGAAAACAGATCCACACCCACAATTACTAACACAATAATGGGCCCAAAAAGAGATTTTATTCACCAAAATCATCAAATATTTCCAACAAGTTAATGGAATGAGACTGCTCTAAAATAGTTGCCTAAAGCCAGTTTCAACATCTAGATTGAAAGTAAGAGATTTGAGCTTCATCCCCAGGCAAGGGGATTGAAGCCTGTGGCTAATACCTTCAAGGAGAGAGGCATCCCCACCTTCCAGACTGTTCTAAAAAAACAAGTGAGAAAAGCTGTGTCACACATCTTTTGATAACCTGGGTTAAGAGCACTTGCTTCTAACTTGTGCTCCACTCTTCCAAGGGCCAAACCAAACAGCTCCATATAATACAACCATTGCAAGTTCTTCCTCCCCAGTGCTCCTCCTGGATTTTTTCACCATCTTGACTGGGACACATCAGTCAAAACACCAGCGCACCACAGTCCTCTGCAAGTCCAGCAAGGCGTATGGATGGGTACTGGTGCTTGCCAGGTGCAGTACTCTGGCAAGACACCATGCCAGTGCATTATGCTTAAACCTAATTCTCGATCAAACTCACTTTGGTATTTTTAATGCAATTTTAAAAGCAGTTTCCTTTCTCTGTGATATTGGTATTACTTCGCAAGAAGAAAGTGCATGCTAAACTCTTGCAACATGTAAACATTTAGCTTACACCTAATTTTAAAGCCCACAGGAGTCCCTGGAAAGATTTCCATCAACTTCACCAGGCCGCAGATGACAACAGGTGAAGAACTGGTGCAACCTTCTCAAAGGATGTGCACATCCAGGACACTCTCTGGCTAGCACATCAAAGGCTGCAACCTTCTAATAGCTAACAGGAGGAAAATAAGCAACTCTGTACCAGTCTGTCAAAATTTACTACAGAGCCTTTGCCTCTTTGTACTTTTATTTTCACAGCTTTAAGAGACTGACACAGATAAGAAGTACTCACATTGACTGACTGTTGCAGTTCATTTCAGTAGTCAGATGAGTAGTTTCAGGCACTGAAATATCTTTCCTTTCCAAACAGGTAAAATCTGAAACTTGCCCCTTAAACCTAGGAAATCAAAATAGCAGTGGTTTGCTGATTCACTGTTTTTCACAAATTCAATTAAAATAGTAGTTCACATAAGTCTTTTCATTTATACATAGCCCAGTGGCTATGGGGGTTGACTTTTACATTATTTATTTTACATATAATGTTACTTCAGCAGAAAATGTTGATAATTTAACATGTCAATACAGCAACTTGTTTAATAACATCAAGGCTGAAGAGAAAATTTGTGGTAGAGAATTCAGGCTACTGTGTACAGACACAATCGATTATTACCTCTGTTTGTCATCAGCTGAGAAGAAAGCATGTACTGTATGAAGCCTAATGTCTTCCACAGCAAATAGAAATCCATTTAAAAAAAAGACTTCAACAATTTGCCTCAAAAGAAAAACCAACAAGCCCATTCCAAGCCCCACAACCTTTTACTCTAAGCTGCCCTGGGTTTTACTTTTACATCGGGGTGCCAGGAGGAGAAGGGAATTTGCACTATATTCAATATTTGAACCATGTTTTCTATTGCTTTTGCTTTTTTCCTTAGGTCTATGGCTGTGTGCAGAAGAGCCACTCACCCTAGCACTGTAGCAGCATTAAGCAAATCAAAATGTGCCAAATAGCAGCCACATTGCCAAAGGTTAC